GATTCGAATTTGAAGATACTGAAGAATGGAGAATGATTGAATACTCTGAAAGATTGTAAAGAAAGTAACTAAAGAAGACGATGAAGATGAAACCGTTTAAAGATCGAAAACCAATAATTTTTTTTAATTACACACATACAAACGAAAATTCAAACATACATCAACAAATAAAAATAGTTATTCATGACGAATCTGAGCTGAATTCAGTTAACCCCAATTAGAAATCAATTCTTACTTGAATTATACCACAAATTCTTTGTAGATAACAAGTAAGAAGGTAGCATTGTTCCATATTTCTAGGTAGATTACTTCCGCAATCAAAAAGGAAAAACATATAAATAAAGCATAGGTACCTATATCAATTGCACGCAATAACAAGTGCACTCGAAATTTAATCCTGAATTTCATTTCTGCATTGTTTTCTAGAGGACAATACACGAAATTAATGTAGAAACTCACAAAGCGAAATACAAAAACTCGCTACGGATTGTTTAAAAATCATTAAATCTTTCGAGCACGACAGCAATCAGAAGCGCTTTGTGAGACAGGTACGTGAACTTTTAATTAATCGAATATTTGTTTGTTTCAGGTGAGTGCCGGCAACTCCTACATCGGCCATGTAAGTCAAAATTAATTAACTTCCATCTAGCAAAACGTATCCCTAGATCTATTAATATCAAGGGGGCGGAATGAGGGTTTCTCGTACGTAACTTGTCAAAGCGTTCCCGTCACTATTTCGTGACCGTTTTTTTTGGTATGCAAGCAATCATATTTTGTATATTATCGCAGTTTTATGGAAATTATTCAGGAATGCGCCGAAATGTTTCGCGACTTTTTTTTTAAAACTCGCCCGGAATTTATAGAAGCGTTTCAAAAATTCGCCGATACTTAAGTGGGCGGTTAGTACAAGGTATAGACGACCTCCAACATTTTTCCGTGAGGATTACAGTCCTGGTCAATTAATATACTTTATCGACACGTATTAATTTCATACATTTAATATTGGAGAAGGAACAAATTAAACATTGATCTGGCTTCTTTTAGGATAAGGGATTACATTACGTACCTACCCACATAATTCAATACAAGTTTTGGTTTCATTCGACCAATGTGTAGGAAATATGAACTGACTAGGTGTATTTTCATTTAATACACGGGAAACAATAGTTACTTACATAAAAGTCGGAAAATGACACATTACTAGAATTAATTACTGAAATTTAAGTGTTTAAACTGTTTACCACATTTTAAATGACGTAAACCTACGGTTATTGAATATGAATATAAAATGCGCACTTTACATTTACACAGCAGTTTTAACAATGGTTCTTTGTCATAAAAAAATTGAATAGTGGGCGCGTAAACAATTCGTATCCGACGTTCTTTCAATTTTTGTGATAATCCGTATTTTTTCTGCGTGTATATTAACTTCAACGATAGTTGCCAGAACATGAGTTATTATATTTTACGTTCCAAACAAATACTGGTCGTGACAGTTGTCCAAAAATCGAATCTGGTAGCAACTGCTTTGAAAACGCATTTCTTGTCCAAATTCTATCAGGAATCACGCTATCAAGACGCGTATTAATCGACAACTCTTATTTTTAGACTACGCCTGAATGCGAAACAAAATTTTAATCCAACCAAAGGAATTGTATTACTGAAATTAAACGCAAAATTCCCAATGAAATATAAATTTCATGGGTCGATTCATTTAGGAATATCTAAATCACTTAAAATAAAATTATTTACGCCGATGCCTAAAAATACTCGACCACTACTAACTTTGGTTTAAGACAAGATCGTGATTATGCTCAGGAATAATAAGCCACTGTTCCGCTTTGTTGATATTAATCTTACCCAATTTATTGCAAGCACGTAAGCAGTTGTATACCAAATTTTATTTATCGCAAAATTACTGTCTAGCGATGTCACCTTAAGGCACTGGTTTTGAACTAGCTGTTATTATTAGCAATCCGAAAAAAGGAACTTTTTTGTTTATCACAACGAGTTTACTTAATCTCGTTTTTTATAATATAAAAAAAAGCGGTTCTCCGACTAGAAAATGGTTCTTCACGTAAATTTTATCACTTGTAAATAATAGGCTTAGGCTATTAAAAAGTTTTTCTTTTTATCAACCAGTTCCGAGTGCTGGTTTCTTAAAATCGCAAATACGCGAGGACCTTTCTTGCAACCTAGCTAAAAATGCCGACCGCGAAATCGGTCGCCCATGAAGTTAAAGAAAAACCTTTTGTATATACGCGAAACAAATCAACAATAATAATAAATTAGCATACCCAAATTAATACTGGCTCGCACTAGTAACACCTCTAATAGTGAAATTTCGCGTACCTAACACAGTACGTGACCACACGCAAAAACTAGCTCTTTCGCCCACGAGAAAAAGCGGAGGAAGTTATTTTGTGAACGCAATGACATCGTTTTTTTCACGTGCTCGGATTTAACGGAACGAAACTTTTAGGTCCCAAGAGATCGTGGCTTCTTATCGCCAGACATACTGTCGTTCGCGTTGGCTATAAAGCGATATATGTAAATTTTCGTATTTTTAGCAAAACCTTATTTTCGAAACGGCAAAGTGACCACCTGTTACAAAAGTAAGCATTTATTTTCCCCGTTTGTTCCTTACAATGTCTTAAACGGGGGAATTTTTGAACCTGTTGATTGAATTATCAAAGCTTTTCCATTTAGGCACTAGATTGTGTTAATATCTTACAAAATAATACCTAAATATTTGAACAATACGTAAAATTCGCTGTAATTTGGGCTCGATAAAACACAACAAAAATTTGCGCTATCTGTAACTGCTAACACATAAACACACAATCGCCAAATGAATTTATACCTACACGACAATGTTTTTGTTCTAATTACAGGTGTAGAATTGGCTCTTTGATGGTGGAAAAATGCACTTTAATGTGAGTTTAATTGATACTACATAGAAAGGCTTCACATAACCGATAAACGCACGATAGACACAAACTCCCACTTCTTCTTAAGCCTCACTTCTTTAATTCAACTTAAACATACACTGCAAAGCGATGTAATAACAATCTTCTAGGTTTCTTCAACAAAACTTTACTGGGAACTGGGAAGACTGACTGTCTTGGAATAATACGCTTAAATACGGCAAAATTCCCAATCACCAAGGCAATAAGCGGCTACCAAAAAGCAACGTTTAACGTCCATCGTCTACCTAGGGGGAAACCGCAAAAAATTCCATTTTCGTTCTTTCTTAGGATATCCAATCCCGAGAGCAAACTTCAATTTGATGGCTTTTGGTTCCGCGGGTCTTCCTCCTTTCATGCACGCTTAATGCCTCCCTTTTTTTATTTTTTATTGCTTTCCCGTGTACTTCTTCTTTTTTCTCACGTCCTATCCAAATGTCCTCCTTTGTACCTTTCTGATCTCTCTTTCACACCTTATTTACTGTTCCTTTGTTTTTTTTTACCATCTTCACTCTCTTTAGTGTTTCTTTTATAACACCATACCATCTTCGCGACTTTTTCGCACGACGGCACGTTGTTTTTTCCTTTGTATTCCTTTTTTCTCTCTCCTTTCACACTGCCTTAAAAAATCTGCTTTGAAAGCCTCCCCATTTCCTTTTTATACTTATTATTCTCTCTTTCGCGCTCTCTTTATGACTTCCTCATACCTTTTCCGTACCTCCTTCAAGCTCTTCTTTGCGTCTTGTTATTGCAGTTCTTTACATCGCGCATCTGATTCATACTTACCTTACGGCTCCTCCATATCATTTTCTTTTACGCTTACTAACTTTACGCTTATTCCTTTCACTTCACCTTCTTTGAGTCGAGCTCCGTCCTCGTCTCTTTTTCTTGTATTCTCAAACCTGTTCGTGTTTCTCGCTTCTTCTACGTTTCTTCCTACTACGATCATGATGTTCTTTACAATTCCTTTCTTCACATTTGTTCTTCCTCACGCTCTTATTTGCTTTTTCGTATCATCGTTAGCTTTTCACCACTCTTTTTTGTTACAGTTCTCACAAATTTTCATAATGGCCTCTTACCTCGTTTTTTCTTTACGGTCCTTTTATTCCCAGGCCCCTTGCTTCAAGTGTTACAAATGCTTTTTCCGCGCTTTCTTTTTTCAAGCATACTCTTCTTCTTCTACTCCTTTTTTCTTCGTCTATATATACGTGTCAAAAAATCCAATACCTTAGAAATACTTCGTTCGCCGTTGTTTTCTTTGCGGTTAATTCCGATCTTTTGCAAAACCACTAAAAAAAATTACGTTTCTAGGTCCCAGGAGTCCAAAAAAGTGCTTTTTAAAAATGTCTGTATGTACGTATATCGTGTGTATGTGCGTGCAACATGATTCTTGTGAACATGATTCAGCCGAAGTTACCCGACCGATTGTGTTAAATCTGAAGCATTTCGAAAGATGGAAAGCGTTTGGAAGCGATTCGAAAATGGCTAACGCCCTTTTGGCAATAAAATCGATTACGTATAACTTTGTAAGGAGCAGACCGATTTGTCTGAAATGTTGTACCGATGTTCTCTAGAATGGTCCTGAAAGCTGAAAAACGATTGGAATTGGGAAATGTCCTTTTTGCTATAAAACTTATATTTATTTAATAAGGTATGAGCAACAAAATTTTCCTGCTGCCTTTTTTTATTTCAGCGTTGGGGCTCATTCTCGTCTTGACTCTTTTTTCGCAATTCCGGTCCAAGTTTATTGAGATGCTGTGATCCCGGATTGCACTTTCAAGGCTTCTCAAAGGCTTGTGGAGAGTTTTAGAAATTTTCAAGGTTTTAGCAACCCTCTTCCTAGAAGTGGTGTCGAAAAGCGCTTTCGCTGAGGAATTTCCTTGGAAAACCAACAGTATAGACGCGGATTCGGTACCTCCTAATAGGAATCTTAGTAATTCCTTCATATATACCAATTTTCTTAAAAATCTCCTTAAGAAATCTTTACTTTTTTTGGAAAAGGAATAGGAATCATATTGGAGCAAAACTCATTTGTAGGTACAATAATTTATTATTCTGCTCTAATCAACGACAGACAACACTCTGTAGTTCTACTGAATTTATTTTCATAATTTCTATTGGTAATAAGGATTAAATTCATACTTTTGGCCACGGATACAGTCTATCCCAAACAGAATAGCGATCCTGATACAAGTTTTCCTTCATAACCATCTTTTCATCAATGTCTAGATACGCCTCATGTCCAGGTCTAATCGGTTTCCACTCGGTGTCATCGAGCAAATGACTCACTTTGGGGATCGGGACACTGAAAGAGTACCGAGAATTAGATTTGCACGTTCCCAACCGAAACCCTATCTTACCCGGTTTCTGCAAAATTTTTGAACATACTGGTCATTTTCTGTACAGTTTTGTATTCGGGATCGGTGGGCGTCAGACGTGGAAAGCGCGAAATATAGAAAAGGTACAGTAGATCATCATGGTGGACCACTCCTACAAATTCAATTTGCTCACCTCATTTGATGATAATTGTTACCTACCTTCGGGTGTGGTAGTGTTTTGTTTGTAATGGAAGCTGTAGCGCCCTTCGTAGCCAAACTTGTAATAGTAGGTGGGTTCGGAATTTTTAGCTGCGAGCAGCTTGGCTGCTCTATTGGCTGTAAACCCTATAACTCCATCGGCGTACAACTAGAAATTCCTGCATTATTTATCGGTTCAAATTAAATTGGGGTACCTTTCCAATTTGAGGTAAAGACTTTTCAGTCAAAGGTCCATCGCCTAAATAAGCCTTTCTCAGCTCCCTACTGATGTGCTTAGAATTCTCGGTGTCCCTTTCGTAAATGAAACTAATCGGGGCAACTTTCTCGAAGTTTTCGTCCATCTCCTTGAGCCAGGTGGCATTATCTAGTAGGTCTAAAAGTAAAGAATTAGCGTGAGTGACCAATCAAGCGCAAGCTTACTCCACGCTGTATATTTAAATTCCTCGGCGGTTACAGTTACCATTACTGGAACTCTTTCAAACTCCCCTCGCAGAATGAGTTTTACCGGATCGTCAGTCAGGAACCGCTCTTGGCCGCAGTCCGGCTCGATGACCGGAAGCCACATCATAATGGGGTCATAAGCGAACTCCTAGACAGAATTATTAATATTAGCACCACCCAAGAAAATATTTACATCAAATTGATACAAGGAGTTTCCAATTTCCTCTGCACTCTTCGTCTTAAGGCATTTATAAATTGATTCCGAATCGGTATCTGGACAGTTCACGAACCGCGCTTGCTTTTGTGCCATTTCGAATTGATGAGGTCGGACCGGCCAATTTCCTAAGCTGGAGCCGCTCATTATGATTGCTCTATGGAAGAGGCCTAAACAGCTTTGATGTAAAGTGATTAGTGGGGGGTTTACCTTTCGCCATTGGGGAAACCAGCATTAGGGAGGTGGTTGCACCTCCTGCGCTATACCCGGAGATCGTCACCAGGTTTGGGTTACCACCGAACGACGCTATGTTCTGCTTTATCCATTTCAGCGCAATCACATGGTCTTTCAGCCCGTTATTTCCAGGCGCGAACTTATCGCCGGTGCTCATAAAACCTGCAGGATTGTAATTAAAGTGGGGGGTGAAACGAGTTGGGTCTAACCTAAGGACGCCAGGCGGTAATTTAAGGTGACCAGTACAATGTCCTGGTCTAACAAGTAGTCCGGCCCGAACGCCTCACTGTATCCGCTCCAAGAGTAGTATCCACCGGGGTGAGAGAAGACCAACACGGGGCGGTTGGGATTCGAGCCCTTCTGAGGTAACTGCGTGGTGTACACATTTAAAAACAAACAGTCTTCGCTGGTGTTTTCCTGTCCGGGTTGCGGGCAGAGAGCCCCATTCTTGGTCGCGTCATAAACACCCGCCCAGCCTTCCACTGGTTCTGGAGGCTGCAATGGTTTGCACTAATTAATGGAGATCATAATATTAATTGTTCGTACCTGAAACCGTAACTCGTTTATTGGTGCCTTGGCGTACCGGATGCCTCTGAATGAGTAAATCTTCTTTCCGAGTGCCGTTTCTAAGGGCGCACCCTTAATTGATCCCAGCGGGGTGGATACCAAGAACTCATCATCATGGTTGTGGTGATGATGATACGATGACGCACCATAAACTAATACCAAAATTAGCACACTTGCTTTAAGCATATTCAAAAATTCACTTGCACACAATCGCTCTTGTGAAGCAACTGTCTACAGGAACCCCGATGTGCCTCTTTATAAACGATCGTTACGGTACATAAAAACGTATCAAGTGTAAATATTACCAATGCATACGGCATTGGCGTAGTTTTTCCCGTCGAGACGATAAAAGGTGATGCCCCTATTCATTTACACGAAATATGGATGTTGCAATGCTTGTTTACACCGTTATCGATTTTTATTATCTGTTTCTCAACTGTCTATTAAGAAAACCTGTTGATAATCCTCTAATTATAATTAATTGGATAGCGTTATTAAAAGCAACGTGCCTAGGTCAGTGACGTTGGTGGACCGACCTTGAAATATCAACCTTCTGCATATAGAATCGTTTTATGTTCATTTCGTCTTGTCATACAATATTTCTGCTTTTTTGATTTTCGAGTTAATACATTTTTTTTAACGGATGACCGGAAAAAGAAGGTGTTTCTATCACGAAGCATCTGTGCTGTGAATTTTCTTTTGAATTACCATAAGTACATAATCCATCAGTAGAATAGAATGTACGAGAATGTGTTTCAGTTTCTAATTTACTGAAAGTCTCTGGCTAGCAGAAGAGCATAACATTAGATGATGTCTTTCCATGCTCAAGATAAAGACCTTTACTCTGTACTACTTTATTAGGAGCAAGGAGGTAAATACATATGTTACAGAACGATTTATTGCTATTCGCCGAAGACATCTGTCAGAGAACCGCTGTAAATTTTTGCAAGAACATAATCTACGAACCCTGAAAAGAGTGTGCCAAAACTTTATTTTATAGACGTTTGTATTAGGGGAATAGTAGCATGCAAGGAAGCGGAGTATCCTTTCAAAAAACCAATGTTTTATCGCGACCAGGTGGGCATAAGTCATGAGAAGGTCATTTTGTATTATTAAGTTATTCTTTAAGCGTTCGTAATTCTTGTGCGAAGAGAATATAATGTGGGAGGAGATGCTTTGTTTCCAATTCACGAAGTAGGTATTTGCTAGAAAAGTATTGCAAACTTTTCCTGGCTACCAGGCAGGCATAATCAATGAGGTGGTTATTTTCTATGCTCAACAGAAATGTGCAAGGCGTTTCTGCTCCTACTTCATCAGTTTATAAGTTAGAAAAATAGTCTCGTTTAAACTATAGTATCAAGAGAATATAATGTACAAGAGGGTGTTTTTGCTCCCATCACACAGAGCATATTAACAGTATTATCAATACTATATAAACCAGAAGACAGTTCCTATATGGAGTGTCTGTTAGACATTCTTTGTAATGTTTGTTTCAGCCCTATTTTCACGAGAGTATAACGTACAAGGAGGTGTTTTTGCTCCTAATATTGGCAGAACAGATGTTAAAAAACTGGCTACCAAGAGAACATAGTCATTGATTAAACCTTTTCTATGCTCATCTGATGTCTTCACACACCTTACTTTTGTCTAAACTTTTTCAGGAAAGTGGAGGCATTTCGACTCCTAATACATAGATCATCATCTAATAGAACTCTGTTGTAAATTTTATCGGCTACCAGGAGAACATAAACCATGAAGAGGTTAAGAGAATTGTTTCAGTGCCTTCTTCTCGTTTAAATTTTTATATCAGGAGAATACAATGCTCTTGGTTCATGAAGTGTGTATCCTCTTTGTCCACCACTTTCCTCACCCCTGTCCTTTCTACTTCCTTACATTCTATTATCAGGTGATCAATATTTTCCTCTTCTCTCCGCATAATCTCAATTTCTTTCCTTTTTTTCTCTTCACTGCTCCATTTTACTCTCCTAGTTTCCACATCGGTACCTTGCAATTATTTTTTTTTTCTTTTCCTTTGTTAGATACCTAGGCACCCTATCCGCTATCAGCTCCCTGTACCTTTCGTCTCCTCTAGAATTCTTGATCCTCACTCTCCGCAGCTGAACTTGTACATCTTTGTTCAGCTTCAAACGTTTCCTCTATTTCTCTCCTCCTTTCAACCTCTGCTCCTCTTTATCGATTTCTTTCGTACTAGTTTTTCCTTTGTTCCCACCAAATTCCTTTTGTGTTCATTGTCGTCGCTTACTGACTTGCGTTCCGACTCTGTCCTTGTGTTCTCCATTTTTATTTCCCCAATTAAAACGTAATTTGCTGTCCTTCTATTTAGTGTTTTATAACCCATTGCCTACCTCCCCCCGTCCCAAGTCTTATCTTCGGTTTTTCTGTTATCTGTTTTTGCTCTGTTGCCAATAATACTGTGTCATCCGCGTAAGCACCATATCTTCCATCTTCCCATCACAATTCTTTCACTTTGACCCTGTCTTAGTAATTTTAGAGCAATTTTTAAGAATTCGCTGTCTTAAGACCTCCCCACCCCATGCATTATTTCCTGAGATGCTGTTTTTGAAAGTATCACTTGCATAACACTTACATGCGAAAACCAACTGGCCTCATATTTAAACTTTTAAAATGGGGGGGCGAGGGGGGTAACAAACGTTCTACCTTTCATGGTATTCTAATGAAACGTCTCAAAACCCTTCTTTCTTTTCCCTTATCAAAATGAGGGGTTGAGGAGAGCGGATCCATCATAGTACTTTAATGAAAGGTCTTAAGGCAAGGCATTAATTTCGACCATCCTCGATATAATTCCTTATATCTTAAGAACGCATTTTGTCGGAGAAGGGTACTCACAAAGGGCATTTGAGACGTCCTTAGATCCATGAAAAGCTCTTATTACCGTCATTTTTTTCCAATTGCTTTTCCATCACTCCTAGATCGTTCTCCTCCGGTCTCTTAACCCCATTTGTGCTTCCTCCAACATCCTCTTCCCTTCCATCTTTCCTTCTAATCTTGCATTCAGTACCATTACGTAGATTCTATACGCCGTCATCATTATCGTGATTCCCCTATGATTTTCTATAATACAGTCCTTGTCATCTCTTTCGCAAATCGGCACCATCCTTCCATTCTTCCCGTAGTCCTTCTCATATCTTGTTTATTAGTTTTCCTCATGTTCTCCTTAATACTATCTGTAGTCTTATTCCTTATTTCGTCCCTCCCTGTACCCTTACCTTCCTTCAATCCTTTAATTTTGGCCCCATCTCTTCTCTTGATATCTCGTCTCCTTCCACCTATTTTCTTCCCTCTTCTTCTATCCCACACTTTTTTTACTGCTTTCAAAGTGCTGCTTCCACTACTCCATCTATTCCTCTATCACTAAATGTGTTTTTTCCTTTTCCTCTATTTATCATCTTCCAAAGGTTATTCTCCGTTTTCATTTCCCTGATTTCTTCTTCATATTCTTTCGGTTTCTTCATCTTTTTTTCTTTACTTATTCTTCTGCACCTTCTTTCTGTTCTCTCACCTTCTCCTCTCCCTTTAATTCTCTCTCCATCATTGTTTTTCCCTTCTATACACTCTCTGTCCCAGCATTCCCTTCTTTTTCTCTCTTCTTTTCCGTTAACTAGTATGTAATCAAATACCGATCTCCTTCTCCCTCCCATGTATATGTATTGCCCACCTCTATCTCCCTACATATTTCGGGTTAATCTTTTTCAACATCTCTTTTCTGTTAATTCCAGTAACAATTCCCCCTCTTTGTTGCATTCTTTATCTTCTACTTCTTTCGTTTCATTTTTCCGTTTCCTTATCTCTTTTCTTACGCCTTTTAAGCAAACTCTTCCTTTATGTTATCCCCTCCGTTATCCTTCTTTGCAAATTGGTTTTTCCTCCGTATTCACTCTGGAACCTGTTCTTTATTTTCTCCCAGTTTTTTTCTTCGATCTATGATTCCACCAATCTCACCACATCATGTCCTCCCCGGATTGTACGTCTTTACTTGCTATCCCCGCTAGATTCCAAAACCACATCTTCATGTTACTAATCTCCTTTTGCTCCTTTCTTCTGCTGTTCGCATCTGTTTCCTTCTCCCCCCCCCCTTCACTTGTGTTCTGATTAACTGTTAAAATCTCCCCTCAAACCCTACCTTTCCCTCTCCCATTCGCTTCCTCTCTGCTCCCACTAATCCTTTCTCCTTGTATATCCCCATTTTACTCTTTTTTCCCTCCTCTATTTCTCTATTTTCTCTCTGTACTCCTCTTTATCATAAGTGAGTTCGTTACCTATATATGCATATCTTGCTTCCCTTTAACTTTCCGTTACCTCTCATAAGTTTCCTCTTCCTTTGTCATGTTATTTTCGCGACTATTACGTTATTTTCCCTACTTCAATTGTTCTCGCTTGTTTTACGTTCGCCTCTACTTGTAGTTTTCTCTCTCTTTTCCCTTTTCCGTCATTACTTCTTTTGTCGTTATGTGATTTCTTGGCTTTTCAATTTCCTTTCTCTCATTATCTTTAAGTTTCGTTATGCTTCCCATAAATTCCTCTTTTTCTTTCTCCCATTGCTCTTCCCTTCTCCTCATTTTCTCCTCGAAGCCTCTCATTTCCTCCGCCAGCTTCCTGCCATTCTTATTTACTGTCATCATTCATCCCCGTCTGCGCTAGAGGCTTGCGCGCTTCCACACCAGTCTTAGCCTTTTCGGTAAAACGTCCAAACACGAAAGTTTGACGTACGAAGAGCGGTTGCTTGCCACAATACGTTTCTTGATAGGGGTCGTTATCGTCAGACATTCCTTTGTTCACGTTCACTATGAAGCGGTACATGTGTAAATTATCCGATTATCATTCCTTTTCATATCTTATGAACTTAATTAAGACCTTATGCTGAAGCTTTGGCCTGAGATTTTTGCTTAGATCAAAATTTGAAACGTTTAAAGCAACGTATGTTGTGAGGTCAGGCATTAAACGATATTGCATGTTAAAAAAACAATTTGAAATTAGGATTTTGGACGCATTCTTTTTCAACGGTTCACGTTTTCTCATTCACCAACGCAAAAAACTAAGCAAATAAATTGCAATTAATTTACCTCACTTTCATACAACAAATCATTTCGAAGAAGCTTCAGAAAACTTAATTAAAATTGTTTTCACTTTTATCCCCATATCGTGTTTCCAAGGAAATTAAGTTGAAAGTTCGGGACCAAGTGCTTTTCTGGCGGCCAATAAA